TTCCCTCTTGGGGCCCAGTCCACCCGGTGCTGTATATATACACAATAGCACATACACCTGCTTTCTCTATATAAATAGCTTTTTGTAAATTACTTTATTCTCTGTGCTGCCATACAAGTTCTCTGTGCTGCCTAGTAGTCCAATGTATTTCAGTAGAGTTAAAAGTTATGTACCTATTAAATGCTTTCAAATATTATGCAATAGGGTTTTGTTACGTTTTCATACAACACATGTGCATCTATGCTTATACAGGAAAAAGTGCAGTTCCTTAAATTAGAGAGAAGAGAGAAGCATGGTCTAGTGATCCAATCAGGGGACTGGCATCCAGGAACTCAGTTCTTCTCTGTATCTGTTTCCCCATCTCTAAAAGGGATAGTAATTTGTACCTAAATAACTCACAGGGGTAAAGTCAGGATCTATTAGTTTGTGTTCCTGAAGTGCTTTGAAGATGTAAGATCAGTGGCCAGGTACAGCAAGGTATTTAAGCATGTACTTAAAGTGCCTGAGGACTGTTATTGCCATGTGCTCAAAGTTAAGTATTTGCACAAGAGCTTTCCTGGATCAGGGCCTATATAAATGCTAAATAATATCTGATAAACAATGGCTTAGTTGCTATGAAATTATCTGTTAAAGTAATGATGAACTTTGAGTAATCCAAGAATACACAATAATCTTAAATTTTTAATGTTTTAACATAAGCAACTGAAGTCTCAATCTTGACATTACATTAATGCAAGTTTTAATAGATAAGTGTATTAGATTTCATACACACCAGGTGTGGTTATTTGGATATGCATTTATGAAAAAATGCTCCTACAAATTCCCTACGACACACACCTTAGTGCATGTTGCTGAATTTTTATGAGTTATGTACTGTGCATACTCTTAACACATATATATATATACACACACAAACCTCATTCAAGATTACACAAAAAGTTTTATAAGTAGTTTTCATAGTTATCATGCAAAAGGAAAACTAGACCATTTTTTAGGTGGAAAAAAATCTTCTTGAGTGAAATCCTGACTCCACTGATGTCAATGGCCAAGCTACCATTGACTTCAATGAAGCCAGCATTTCATTGTTTGCTTTGAGATGTTTTTTAAATAACTAAAAGTATTATAAAACACCATAAAATGTTTTGTTTCTGCGCTTAATTTAAGCATGCAACTTTTCAGACAAAAAATTGAGATATTTATAAGGGAATGAAAATAGGGGAGTTTAAATGGAAGTGTTACCTCAACTGTAGCTATAGACAAGGGTCTATGTACTCCAGGGGTCAGCAACCTTTCAGAAGTGGTGTGCTGAGTCTTCATTTATTCACTCTAATTTAAGGTTTCGCGTGCAAGTCATACATTTTAACATTTTTAGAAGGTCTCTTTCTATAAGTCTATAATATGTAATTAAACTATCGTTGTATGTAAAGTAAATAAGGTTTTTAAAATGTTTAAGAAGCTTCATTTAAAATTAAATTAAAATGCAGAGCCCCCCGGACCGGTGGCCAGGACCCGGGTAGTGTGAGTGCCACTGAAAATCAGCTCACGTGTCACCTTTGGCACGCGTGCTATAGGTTGCCTACCCCTGATGTACTCCATAGCAAACTTAACCCACATTCTATCGGAAAGTCCCTAGATTCTGGGGCAGTCTAGTAAAAATTGTCAAAGTTTTATGGCAGTTTCAGATAGATTTTTTAAATGGCAGTTTTAACTGGATTAGAGATGAATATGAGAAATATACCCAATACAGTAGTTTATTTTTATACTAATTTAGTTTATTTTATGCTGTCTCACATTGTCAGTAGGCCACAAATTGTGATCTTTGGGTTTCAGAATTATCAAATTCATGGGGGAGTTCACACTTCTCAGAATTATTGATTCATGTTGTCTGAAAACTCAGGAATGCACCACTGCATTGGTTTGTACTCAGGTCACCTTTTGAAGGAATCTTCAGAACTATAAGGGCTAGAAATGACATTTTGATCACATTCCTGTGGCAAGCAGTGGATTTTGCAGCAAGTTCCACAGTATTAAGGAATATTTTAGCATTTCTGCAGCTTAGCATTTGCCTCAGGAAGTAGCAAACACAAACCTTCTCGGAAAGATCAACATTTACTAATAGAGTGGGGGCACTTCAGGCAAACATGGCTGATATCAGCCTGGAATATGCCACAGAATTGTACCACGTTTTAACATGGTTGTGAACAATTATGTTAAATGACACGATGCAGAGATCAGACACGATGCACAAACCAGTACAAATAGTGTTCAGCATCATGTCACCTAAAATGATTAAACGGTGGCCTAAGCTAGGTTTAATGACAATTAGCTCACATGATGCTGAATGTAATTTGTCCTCTACCTTCGCAAAGTCCCAGAGCTCAGGATCCAGCCCAAGCCCAAATATCTACACAGCAATTTTTCAGCCCCGGAGCTGGAGCGTCACAAGCCCAAGTCAGCTGACCCAGGCCAGCTGTGTCATGGGGATTTTTATCCCCATGTAGACATACCCTGAGTGCCTTCCAGGGTAAACAAGACTTGAAGGACAAGTAGAAAAGCACCCTCTTTTAATTTAAAGCAATTTGGTGGCCCATTCAGAATTGCAGTGAGAGCAAAGAACTTGCAAAATTCCTGTCGTGCTGCAAACCATTTGCTCTCAGATCCTTTTTTTGGGCAGTCTCTTGCTGTTCTTCCTCAGTCCCTCTTCCTCACTAGACTCTTCTCACTTCTTCATTTTGTAAGCAATTCTTCCCACGAGTCTCTTCAATTACCCGCTGCGGCCAGCTGGCCTGTCCATTGGCAGCTATGACTACAGATCATGCCAAAGCTGCCTCTCAAATTCCACCCCCTACTCAGGCTGTCACTTCAACTCCTCCTTTTCCAGACACCCTGATTCTCCTGTCACTGTTCCAGCTCTCCCTTCTCAGACTGCTGCTCCCCACCAGTCTCTTTCTTCAAGACCATCTCTCAGCTCCAATAGCCACCTGATTTTACTCTGAAAAAAGAAACTAGTACTAAAGGAATTAGCTAGGCTCCCTCCACCCACAAGATTATTACTTTTGTAACCGGAGACCTTCTCTAATCCAAAAATCCATAATTCTCCCCAAAGCCCCCCATCATCACATAACCACTTGCAGCAAAAATAGCAGAGAACCCTAGTGAGGTCTCTTTTAATTACTTTTACAAAGCAACTAGTTACAAAGAAGACTAGATAAACAATAGGTTGAGTAATCTGTTTGAATAACCTGGTTTAGAGACAAGCATACAAAATCAAAGAAAAATCTGTGGCTTCCCTCTCAATCCATTAAAGCTAGGTTGACCCAATAAGATATCTAAGGAATGGAGGGCAAAGAGCATTGTAAATGTAGCAAGTATCTTTGGAATTTTGGACTGTGCTCCTTTGAAAAAGCTATAAACAAAGTTCACACCAGGTTCCCCCCCACCCACATTTACAACTCCAGTGTCTCTTGGAATTGGGTACATAGGAACAAAATCACTTTTTACTTATCTTATCTCTGAGAAGATATCAGAGAATTACTAGAAGACTCAAGTTGGCTACATACAAAGAAACACTGTAGGAAGAATAGCTACTGGCACACCTACCCCACTTTGCAGGGTTCTAGAGTCCAAGCCCAAACATCTGTACTGCAATTAAACAGTCCCTTAGCCTGAGCCCCACAAGTCCAAGTCAGCTGGCACGGGCCAGCCACAGGTTTTTAATTGCAGTGTGATCATACCCAGTGTGTCACAGCTAAAAAAAAGAAGGAACAGATTGTTTAGCATAAGTAGTTAACACACATTTTGACACACATTCAACATGAAGTGGCCCATGAAGATTCATGTTTTTAAATCTTACAAAATCAGTTCAGCCCTCTTGCCAATGTATGGCCCTGTATAAGTGAGAGATTACTAGTTACTATTACTGTCTGAATATACACATGCTTAAATAATAATAATAATTAGTATTTTTTGGTATTTTGACAACTGACACATTAATTTTAAATTCCAACCTTGCCTGGGTCTCTGTTCTCACTGAAAGGGAGGCGCTTTAGGTCTGTCTGAAGAACTGTGGTTCACAAAGTGATTGAATGAAAATGAGACATTGGTCATGAAAGCGAGAAGGTGGAAGCCTCGGCCTTGAATGGACTTGTTCTGCAAGAGCAGTGATTCCCAAACTATTGTCTGTAGAGAACTGGCTCAGCATGTGTGGTGCTGTATGATTGAATATGACCATTTTTATCATTGTTTCTACAACTGTTATGCAATTGCAACTAACCTTGTACAAAGTATATCACAAGGTGTCAATGGAAAAGTTATGATTTGCTAACTATGATTATCCTGTTTATATGCATGTATCATCTTTGTATCGGAAGTTATGAATATTGGCTATGTACAGGTATCTTATACATGTGTTGTATTCCTGGGTAACACCCAGCAGATAGAATTTACATTGGTGCAAGACAGCTATGTATTGATGGCCCATCAAGGACACTAAACTCTCACAATGGCCCATAGAAGAAACTCATCCTGCCCAGATCACTCTTCCTGTGCACACCTCAGTCTCTGGGGGGGCCAATGGCCACTCCCTGTGCGTTATCAAAGCATGTAAGGACATCTGACATGCAGGAGAGCCCTTGCTACACCATCGCTCCCACCTGGTAGTGAGCCAAAGCGCTTTGGAAGCATGGCCTTGAGCCCACCCTGCAACAAGCCTGATTCCCCCACCCCCATCACCAACTAGAGGGCGGCAGGATCCTCCTGCATGCAGATCTCCCCACCCCCACCCCACCGCCACATCCCTGCCTCTCTAGCCCCCTGCCCGGGTGTGGCTCTTGCGCCTTGTCACAGCTGTCTCGCCGTCCCCCACTGCGGTAATCTCCGCCCGAGCGCACGGGCCGGGCCTTGGACAACCGGAGGGGAGGGACAGGGGCGGAGCAGGCTGGGCAGCCGCAAGAGGAGGAAGCGCCGCTGCTGCTGGGGCGGCCCCGGAACGTTCCGCTGGCTGCAGGAGATTCGGCACCGTCTGGATCCCGGGGAAGCAGCAGGACGGAGTCAGCTGCCGGGCTCCTTCCCCCCGAGCTCCCCTAGGGTGTATGCGCCGGTTCCCAGCCCTGCATCACCGGGCGCTTCCCCCTCCCCGTGTGTGTGCCGCATCCCGCCCTCCGGAGCTGCCTTTGCTGCTATGAGGCTGCTGGAGACCGATCTGCAGGTCCTGACCCGGGAGCTGTCCCTGTACCTGGAGATCCAGGTGCCGGCGGGGCTCTTCGGTTCCGGTGTGGGCTTGTCCCTGGTGCTGGGCTTCAGCGCCGCCTTCGCCTGCTATTACCTCAGTAGCATCGCCAAGGTGAGTGGAGACAGGCGGTAGGATGGTTCTGGGGGTAGAGAACAGACGATGCTCTGACAGCGTTACACTAGGGTCACCGTCAGGTTAAAACGCTTTTTAAAAACGGCAAATGTCTTCGGCTCTGATACAAATCCCCACTAGCTCGCTAAAGCCGAGAGGAGTTTGCAAACCGCAGACACTTCAGCACTCGCCCCCTTTCCTCGCGTCTGAAGTTTCTTTCACCTTTGGACAAATAAAAGCAAAGCCGCGCTGATTTCACTGTCTAGGCGGCTTCCAGTCAATGTCACTGTCGCCTGCACTAGAAGGGTGCTCCTTTGTTTGGGTTGCACACACTGCCGGGGGAATGCTCATTTGTTTACACATACTGATGTACGGGATTTTTAGTTTTATTAAGTCTATTTTTTCATATCCAATTTTTCTGGGGGTGGGCAGGGGGATGGTGAGAAAATTGTCCTGACAGCACCCTTTTGTCAGTTTCAGTAGACAGACTTTGGGTACAAGGAGTGTTGGAAGGAGAAATTAAGAAAATTCTCCCCCTTCTAAACCATCTGTTCTCTGGCTCTAAACATTTACTAACATTGTGCCAAAGAAAGTAATTTATCTTTCTCCTCTGTACAATTTTTCTGTTCCCTGCATTGCCATTAGCTAGATATACATACTTTGATATGCAGCTCAGATACTTCTATGTTTCCCTCCCTGTATTTCACAAATAATTAACCCTGAAGGGGTTCACTCACCACAGGTGCACCTCCTTGTGGCTGGGTCTGGTTTTTATTTTTTTACCCCATCTGGCACTTCTATTGGTCAGCCCTCTGTCTGAATTGGGGTGCTCCCTTTTAAATCAGCCTTCTGACCAGGTCACTTTATAGTCCCTACCCCCATTTCCAGGGTAACACAGTCACACCAGACAAGCTGTCATAGGGTCTTCCATTGCACCTCTAGGTCCTGCACCACTTCCCAGTGGCTAGTCGGGGAAGCCAGGCCCTCCTGCTAATCCAGTCCAGGGACCCTCTGACTAGCAATCCAGACCTGCTCAGTCTCAGTTGTTGTTTCCCTCCTCTTTCCTACCCCACTTCTGTATCGCCTTGCCTGTCTCTGGGTTTATCAGCAGAGCTTCCCTGTGGCTACTTCACCCCCTCTAGACTTCTTGTGAGACTGCCTAGTCCAGGACGGGACCCCAGGGCTTACTCTCCCACCAGCTCTCCTCCTTGCCCCTGGGTAACTCCCTTTCCTTCTAGTGGTTCCCAAACTGGGGTTCACGAAATGTTATCGGGGTCCTCAGAAAAAAATTCTGTAATGGCGGACAGAGCCATCCCTAGGGACCCCAGGCGCCGGGGCCGGCAGCCCGAGCCCCGTGACCATGATTTCCTGGCAGAACAAGTTTAAGCTTTGTTGTAGTCATGCATTGTTTGCCTGGACTGCTCAAGACCCGAATACTTGTGGGAGGAACTCTTTATTTGCATTGGCTTCTTAAATACCTTCATGCTGTTTCACGTCTGGTACTCCTTGATGAAACATGTAGGAGGCTTAATCGAAGTGATATGGGCTACAGAAGTGAAATCTTGGAAGAGTGTTGCCGTTTTCATAATGTAATAAAATTATGAATGTAATGATAAATAATAATGTAATAATAAATAGTGTGTAATAAGTGTGTCATAAAAAAAACCAAATTATTTCCAAGATCACTGCTTCTATAATTTATACTCAGGTAAGGGAGAAAATCCCTGGAAATATTAATTTTAGGAGGAGGTTCACGAGATCTGATATTTTCATGAAAGGGGGTCACAAGCAGGGCCAGCTCCAGGTTTTCTGCCCCCGCCCAAGCGGCAAAAAAAAAAAAAAAAAAAAGCCGCGGCAGCACGATCGCACCGCTCCACTCTTCGGCGGCAATTCTGCGGCAGGTCCTTCACTACGAGGGACTGAGGGACCTGCTGCTGAATTGCTGCCGAAGACCCGGACATGCCGCCCCAAAAGCGGCCAGCGTGCCGCCCCTTGGTATTGGCCGCCCGAAGCACCTGCTTCTTTAGCTGGTGCCTGGAGCCGGCCCT